TGCCTTAAATACTCTACAAACATAACCCACCTGCTAGCTCACAAAGCATATGGTGATGACTTTCAAAAATTAACCAGAAAAAGAAAGCATTGTTTTTCCAGGAGTGACTTTGTCTGCCATCAGACATATTCCAGAGCAGAAAGGTGGCTTTTCATTGATCCATAATAATTCATATTTTGACAATGAAAATTGGAATCGCATCCACTGCTACCGAGTCATCACACATCGTTTGCATTATTAACATTGTCACAGTGCTATTAGTGGCAATTCTCTGGAACATTTCGTGGGTTTGGAGCAGATTCTAATGTGATGACATATCAGGCAGCAGCATATACTATCATCATTTGAAACCTTAAAGGAGTGTTATTTACCTCATAATTTGCTAGCATCCACAGCTCTGTTTCCCACTACCATTTGCAAAAGCATGGTGGTATTACAACTTGCCTGAAGACAGCTTATTACAAATCCCTGTACATATTGGTTAGAAACCATTTGGCAAAGCAAATGTAATTACAGAGGTGCTGTAGGAAATGGACTTTATGACATAATTACCCACACAAGACATGGTCCATCACTGTAAAGTAAGCCTCTGGATGAAAACTAGTTCTCCAGTATAAAGCACCTATTAATCCAAAAAAAGCTTACAACATTCCAAAGCTTTACATTACAACAGACCAAATATTCCAGATATCCTTGCCCTTCCCACTGATTTCTACCAACAGTTGTTTTGTGTGAGGACCTAGCTAGGCTCATCCATCTGACAGTTATTGGAACTACAGTGCCACAGTTTTGTTTTGCCTTGCAAACTTTAAATCTGGACACACTACAGCACTGTTAAATGAAGTTGCAGCAGTACAACTTAACCCAAAAACTTTAGCACCAGAATGGCTGAGGTATCACACATCTCTGATGGGACTGTAAGTGCATTTGTAAGGAAAAAAAATTCCAGGAATGCAGAATGTTAGCTCCAGCACAGCTGTTCTAATGAGCTCATTTAGACAGTGGTGAGTAGGGAAAACTATGATTTTACCTGCAAAGGGCCATGTTGGGTATTTGCAGAAGTTAGTTCTAAGAAGTTCCATTTTTCAACTGATCAGAGAGCACAGTATGCCTTACTGCTGATGAGATGAACCAGGACCTTGGCAGATACCATTAAAGTTCACTCAGATGTAAGGCGCTAGAAAAACAAAATTGGACATTAGTTGCCGTTTTCTGTAGCAATTTGCAATCAGAATGTGACAGCTGTTCTGCTACTGCAACAGTATGTCAGTCCTGTGTGTTCTGTAAGGCCAGTATCTTGTTAGATGATCTGAAGTCCCTTATTGATTCAGTTTAGCCATGAGCTCAGACCTGAACTTTATTTCAGTGTCCAACTACTGGAAACCAATTGTGGCTTTCCACCTGGAAGCATTTATTTTTGCAGCAATCTGCCAATACCTGTACCTGTCTCATTAAGGAGGCAGGCTGCATCCCAGGTTGCTTCCACTTTGAAAGCTCCAGCATTTCTGACTGGCTCTTTCCTAATGCAAGTGGCAGCTTGAAATCACCATGATAAATCCACAAAAGGGGACTGCCAGCTTTCCTGGGCACTTGGACATCTTGCATTCCTCATGCATCTAAAAGCTCTAATATCCTAAGGCATGCAAAGCATTACAGTACCAGGAACAAACCCCCAGCCAGTTCAGTGGATGGGACTCTGCCATGCTATTCCCATGCTTGCACATGCAAATCCAGAATATCACATATGCTAATGTCTACTAAAAAGACTTTTCATTTCAGGATCTCAGCTTAATGGATAAATGGAATCCTGCAGCATCACTGTGGATAAAATGATTGCATAGCACGAGTGATCAAGGAAGACCTTCAGTGATCTGTCAGAATGAATGAACACAAGTGAATGGCAAAGGAACGTATATGGCCAGAGAGAAGAAAAACCAGCTGTGGTAATTCTCCCTGCCCATCTCAGCTTCAGCAGCAAAAATAGTGCAATCAGTGAATAATCTGTGATCCTTTGGCTCTGTGATGGCCCACTGCTTTGGTGAAGCAATCCCAATCTGTTTTGTTACATCTTGAGCTGCTATTCAACTCTCAAGCATCAAGCAGTGTAGATGGTACAAGCACAGTGACTTCAGGGTCCATACATCTGTTACTCCTGTAACTGCTGCAAAAGCACAGAGGCTGCTTTGGCAGATGGAAGATTTGCCTTTGAGGAGAAATAGGTCAGATATCAGAAAGTAAAAACAGAGAAAAAGATGCAGTCTTTCTTCCCCAGCAGACTGGTGCTTTGCCCAAACAGATCCTTAGTAACTGAAGGCACAGCTCCTTGAGAGCAATTCCCCGCACATTGTGAAAGCCAACATTGCCCAGCCGGCTGAAGAGTATAGCAAGGTCTCTGACCATACAAGCCTCTGATGAGGTACAAGCCAAGCGGAATGTAGTGAGAAGCAAGAATTGGAGGGCTCAGCATAAACACTTTGCTTGGGACACACCTCCTAGCGTTTGTGACTATTACAAGAGAGTAATTTTCTGTGGGAAGGCTCCATTTCTACATACTGTTAATTAAATGCTGGAGGAAAGCAGAGAAATAGTGTTATATCTTCATGCAGTTAATCTAGTCACATGTACTCACTAGGATTGCACCGGCTTTTTTCATCCAAGTCGATGTCCCCACAATGACTGGTCTCCTGTTTGTCTCACTGAAACTATTCTCCTCCCCCTCAGTTCCCACACTATTTTGAGGTAAGAATTCTAACTCCCATTTAGAATCATAGAATGGTTTGGGTTGGAAGGGACCTTTAAAGGTCATCTAGTCCAACCCCCCTGCAATAAGCAGGGACATCTTCAACTAGATGAGGTTGCTCAGAACCCCATCCAGCCTGACCTTGAATGTTCCAGGGATGGGGCATCTGCCACCTCTCTGGACAACCTGTCCCAGTGTTTCACCACCCTCATCATAAAAAATTTCTTCCTTATATCTAGTCTGAATCTACCCTTTTTTAGTTTAAAACCATTACCCCTTGTCACATTGCAACAGGCCTTGCTAAAAAGTCTGTCCCCATCTTTCTTGTAAGCCCCTTTTAAGTGCTGAAAGGCCACACTAAGGTCTCCTTGGAGCCTTCTCTTCTCCGGGCTAAACCACCCCAATTTAAATCAATTCCAGCTAACAGATAGTGAATAAGAGGGAAAAGGAAGTGATGAAAGCACACACAAAAAAAAGACTTAAAATAACAGGCAGGAGCTAGCACAGGGGATCTTTCATACCAGGCTGGACCTAATCATTAAGATAAGCACATTTATGTTGCTAAGGCTAACAACAGGCAAGTGTGCTGCAAAAATCTTTTGAGTATACAGAAATCATCAACCATCGATTCCTCCATAATCCACAGAATGTTTTATCATCAGAGATGTTTGCATAGCATTAAGAAGCAATAAATCCACCTCTAAACAAAGTGATCACTTTTATATATATACAAGTTTACTAGTTACAAGAGATCAAAGTTTTATATCTTTTAAAGTTAAAAACACTATAAAACCTGAGAGATTATAACGGAGGGTGTTACATTAAAGGTATATTAAAGGAAATTGTTTGAGATTGCAGGTGAAGAAAGTTGAGAAGGTACAAGCCATTCTTCTCATGGTAGAAGGGTGTGAGCTTTTTAAAGAACTACTGGGAATCCTCAGTGGAGGATACAGTATAGTCGACATACCTTGAGTTTTCAGAGTAAGGGAAGGCAACAGCACAAGCCACTTCATCAAAGCTGACTTTTAACAGCTTGTTTTATACAAGTGGAAGTCCATGCAGTGAGTGCTTTTACATTTGTCTCACTGAATCCATCCTCCTTCCTTAAAGAAATGAGCCAAAAATAATAGACTGTTTAGAGGAGTTACATAGATTGTAGATAGTACAGTTACAAATGATTTTAGCAGACTCTCTTTACATATTGGGTTACCTCTGATGGCAGCTCCTTTAAAGACAACAAAGTTATAACATACTGGCCTATTTAGTGAAAAGAAGGTGGCTAAACATGTAGGGAGAAGGCAATGAGTTGTTCAACACTACACTGACAGCTTGCCTAAAAACAGCAGCAGGTGACCTTCTCCAAATAACCCCAGTCAGGTAGCAACTGTACTAGATGCAGAAGTCTGGTGTGTTATGCTGGTAAATCAGGAATGCCTCTACTCCAGCCAATGGTGTTAGACTGTTGGGAGATGAGACAATAGCAGAACTGCATCTTGTGGCCAGTTGAAGCAGAGGAATGTCAATATGGAGATAAAACAGTATTTAGAAGATTAGCACATTTTTTTTCTATCCAGGGACTTCGGCCTGTCCTACAGTGCTTGCAAAGGGCATGTAAGATCTTCTTTCCCCCTCCTTCTACACAAATCTTCCCATGGCAAGTCCAAAAACACATGATACTCTATACTCTTCAGCTGTAAAATATGACTTCCACAGAATTTCTCTAGTGCTCTCTGCAGTGTCTTTATAGTTACTGCTATTTCTCAATAGGCTGCTTTAGCTTTCTTTTTAAAATCCTGTCAAATGTTAATGACAACAAATTGTCTGTTCCTCTCCTGCTGCCCCCAAAAAGCCTTTTGGAGTTCTAGTTTAGAAAGATCACGTGTGGGCCTTGGAGTGGAAACGGGCTGGCAGTAGGCAATCAACTTTCTCTTGACACAGAAAATTACCCTCTGCTAGGGCTATAATTTATTGACATGTCTTTCACTAACAGGTCTTCTGGCACAAACTCTTGCCACACAGCTATTCTCATCCACTGCACTTAACTAGAAAGCCTTCTAAATGTTATCTAGTAGCAAGAATTAAGCAGTTGTGTTTTGCAGATCATGTTGCTTAGCTTACTCTTTCATTTCCTCTTATTCAACATTATCACATTATGTTCCCTCTTCTTATGTGCTTTTCCTCTTCACAAAGCTCTTTAAACAGCTGCAAAGGGGGAGGGACCACTATGCTCACGAAAACTCCACTTTGCAGAATGCTTCTGCCAGGTCCTACTGTCTGTCTCTTTCCAGGCATTTAATACCTCCAAGATTCAGGTTTGCTTTTACATCTCTTCCTTGTGCATCCCTGACAGCAGAGCCTATTGCCAGCTGTCTTAACTGAAGAACAGCAATCCACCTCTTCGTGTTATTGCCATGAGGAATACATACACCCTCTTTCTCTTTGTAGTGGGCTCCTTTTATTTTAACGGTAAGTGATCTTTTCTTTCAGATACAGTTTGCAGAACAGCAATAGCTTTCAGGGCTAGGAGATAGAACTGTGATATAAGCTCTCATTTGTAACTATCACCCTAGTAGGCTGCAGACTTTAAGACTTTAAGAGGATGCATGAAATTGATTATTTTAGTGTTGTTTCTGGCTTGTTCGGTATCAGCAAGTCCCCTACGATGCATACGGACAGACAGTAAGTTGGACATAAAATGACAGAGCAGTAGGAGATAACAATGATAATCACTAAATAATATCCCTTTAGATGCTCCCAGGATCATCTGTGATGGGAAAAGCAGGTATTGTGCTCAGAGTGAAAAAAAAAAAAATTAACCATGTCATGTCCAACAGAGAACATAAGACAGATATCACCCCTCTAATTATTGGCTCAAGTTCACATATTTTGCAAAGTTCATACTTCCTAATTGTTTGATTAGTATGTAAATAGTTTAAATTAAGTTGAAATATGTAAATATATGCTAAAAAAAAGCAAACATACATTAAGAACATTTTCTTTAGTCCGCCAGGATTTCTTGCATATGCTTTAGTCAACACGCACAGCCCGACAGCAGCATGAAATAGTGCATTTACCATGGGAGCTTCTTCCCACAGAGGGACTCCACTGAACTGTTCAGAGTGAAACCGGCTGAAATTGAACTGACACAAAAATCACATCTTTCCCATAATTACCTATTCATCCCCCAGTTGTTTTGTTTCTTCAGTCACTGAAAGGCAACTTTAGAAAACATCTGCTTTGTAACAAATGAAGAGTGAGGGCCTACTTTATATTCTTAGATTACACACTTTTAACCCATTAGTATTTCCTTTTTAGTTGCATTAATTGCAGTGCAGAAATTAAAATAGTCTTTAAAATACAGTAAATTCACCACTACATCCATTGGAACAATAAGTGTTCCAAATTAGCATGCATTGTTCTAAGAGGTAGTATAAATCTTTTTACTCAAGAGTATGCTGAGAAGTAACAACATCATGAAGTCATTTCAGATAAGATAATGGGATTGTCTTATTGCTGCTTCTTGTTTGCTCTTTACAAATTACAGATGGGAATTTGATATGTCACCATTGTCCACTTAAGTTATTTGTGAGAGAGGAAAGAACAAAAATGACCACATGTGCTACAATATATTATTTCTAAACAAATGCTATTTCAACATTTATTAAAATAACCAAAGTCAGGGAAACAGATGAAACATGCCTTATGTTAAATTTTGCAATTTAGACAGTGGTAACAGTGCACTTGCCTGTATTTGTCAACATTGCTCCTTATTCTGTTCTGTGGAAATCACTTCAACATATTTGTCATTACACTGAAAATAAACAACATAACACAAGATGACTAGTTATTTCATTTTATATATTTAATTTAGAACATGTCAAAGGGAAAGTTTGCACAGGGGACTGAATGAAGTCTGTGGGTTTTTTCTTCTGCTGTGAAATTGGAATTGGAAGCATCCTGATGCAATTTTTTTTTTATGGTCATACTCCCACAGAGAAAACAAACTTACTGCAGAATGTGTACTGCAAGTTATACGGCAATTTGCTCCCCTTGTCATGGAGCAGACGTGTAGCATGTTCAGTGAAGCTGAAACAATTTTCCTAGCTCAGGTTCCACCCCAATGTGTTTTCACTGTTACTGCTTTCAGTACACAAAAATACTCCACCCCCAAATTAGGACTGCTTCATCATTCTTGTTAAAATCATTTGTCTAAAAGCATCAGTCTGTCCTCTGCAACATTTCTGGTGATTACTGCTATTTGGAAAAAACAGTTTGCAAGGGAAACTGTGCACTTTTGTTTCTTCCAACTATGAGAGGCAAAAGAGTAGTTTCAAACGCATGGCTACTGACGTAAATTTATGATGATTTCATGCATATAAAGATGAACTTGAATGCCTGGTAATTTTGTTCTCATTAGGTGGCATCTGGTTAATATGTAGATTGGTAATGGAAAAATAGATTAGAAAAATTATACAAGAATCACTCATTTTTACATGTTATTTACAGTGGATTTAGCAACCTTTAAAGCAGTACACTGCTGACATCTAGCGGTATTTTGATACAGGCATCTGAGAGAGACGAGTGAAGAGCCCCTTCGATCGTTATTTCTGATTATTAAGTTATTTAAAGGTTGGGATGGGATGGCAATTTTATAAAGAATTATTTATTACAGGAACCCCTTCCCTAAGAACAGATAATAATTTCTTAAAGGGATTCATTATTAACAAACCATTTTTTATAATTGTCATGGCCTGTCATTCACCTACATAGTTCATTGAGTCAGTACTTCAAAATCTGAGCTGTTCTCATCAGACATGCAGACCCCACAGTATGTTTTGATTTGCAGACCAGACTACTATGATTGCTAAAACCAGGTTTCAGAGAATAGGATTATCACAAATTCAGAATTAGCTTTCTGCAAATATTCTGCAGTTTCTACTTCTTACTTGCTGCTTAGCAAATACTCCATATGCTAGAATATTTACAGAAAAAGATGGCAACACAGTGAAAACATATTTATCAATTCAAACAAGAGCTCACTGTCATTGCTAGCAGCATTCAGTGATCACTGTATGAAACAAACCAAATGGCAATTTAATTATATTTGAATTATAGCCATCTGCTTATGTCACTTACATATGCAACAGCAGGAATGTTTGTTAAAAAAAACACAACAAAACAACAAACACCACACAAAACAAAACAACATAATAAAATCACTTTAACCAAGATTCTCTCTTTAGCTACCACAAGGCTTCCCACCTATCCTTATAAACACAGATCAACTCATTCCTAGAGTACAGCCCCATTTTCTTCACAGTATCAAACTTAGCTCTATCTTGATTGCAATACATCAGAAAAAACAGAATCTGAAGCTTAGCAAGGATCAACATAGCTCTAGCTTGATAAGCCTTTGATTAGGCAGGCTTACACTGAGAATAAATGTAATATTAAAATATCACATGGTACTAGGGCTTTTATAATGACTTGCAGGGAGGTACAAAGCAAGTATGAATCAAAAAACAAACTGACCCAACAAACACAGATGTATTCATCCAAATTTGTTTTCCCAAATGGCTTGGGAAGTGTTTGAGAAGCCTATTCTGAAGAGCAATGTTATGGTTAAGTATATGTGACAAAATTTGCGCTACCAATGCCACAGCATCTGCTGCTCTTAAAAGAATTAAAACAAGCCTGGTGTTTACCTCAACCTTTCTCCAGAGCTTGAGTAAAAGCTGTTCTTAGATGTGAAAAATCTGTTCAATATTGTTTCCTTTTATGTGTCTCCACTTTCTTACTGGATCAAACAAGAAGTTCTTAGAGTATTTTTTTAATCTGAGTGGAATTCACAGGTACCAAGTTTCAGGAGAGACTTGTTCCCCCTAGCAACTTACAGCCCAATTCACATAGAAACTAGGCACCTTCTAGAAATGCACACAAACTTTGGCTACTTAGGTAATCCTGGCCTTTTGATGTCTGCCTTTCTCTGGATCTCATGGATATGCTATAACATTAATTTGTTCTGGTTTTTTTATGTACCGCAAATTTAAAATACTTGCATGGCCAGTGGTTTTTGCTGTGTGGAAATGCTCTGGGGAATAATAAAGCAAATATGCTGTAGGGACACTATCCTCAATTCTGCAATATCTAGGGTTGAGTTAGGTGCCCTTTCCTATGGAAGAATCATTCTATCAATTGGATTAGAATCTGTTTTCATTAACACCTGTGTCCATCACTGTCAGCTGTATAACACAACACAGAATTACTAGACACAGAGCAGAATCTCTCTGGGTCAATTCTGTTGGCAGGACATTACCAGGACCTTAGTCATCAGTATTATTCAGTGGTCAATAGTGGTTTGAAAAGTCCACTAGAATGGCTTTAAAAACCACACGCAAGAACATGGGAACAGATGCAGTTACCTCTGGGGTTGTGCCACAGGCTGTTCTGCTCCATGGCGAATGCTGAGGCTTGTTTGATAGCATCCTGCAGATACCTTATTTTGCAGTCACTAAACTCCAGCTTTGGCCATCTAAGGTTTACGGTATTTGTGCTAGTCCATAAATTTGGTTTTGTTTCCACATAAAATAAGGCTTACATACTGCCTCAGGTTTTCAAATAAAATCATGCTGAAACAGAAACATCACTAGCTACCAAAGAGCTTTCAATCATTAAAAATCCCTTATGGCTCCTGCAGCTCATCCCCTGGTTTTCCCTACACAGATCAGTCTTTCAATTTGTACACCTGCCTGCAACTCTGTCTCCTACAACACTAAAGAGAGAAGTCGCAGCCAGACTCCCTGCATTTGGATCATTGAAACGTTCTTCCTCTGTTATTAAGAGAGTGGTTTGCTCCCCGTTTCTATTTCTCAATGTACTCCCAAAAGTATCTATCAACTTGAGCTTTACATTTTACCATGAAAAAACCCAAAGGGTTCTGATTTATCTGCTTTGATCTATGCTCTGTGAAAGACAGTCAACTTCAGAACAGATATTGGTGCAAGCACCATATCCTTCTGTTCACACAAGCCTACAGTCTTTACAAAATCAAAAGCCCTCATTATTTCATGAAGACAATCTGATGCACAGAAATTCTGTGATCCCTACATCATGTCTCTTGGTCTCCTTTCTGAAGTCCTGTTACGTGATGTTTTACAGGAAGCACCGCAGCAGATGCTGAAGAAAAGTTAATGAACCACCTACTGAGTCCTGACAGGTACAATAAGTTAATTCGACCAGCTGTCAACTCATCCCAGTTGGTATCTATAGAATTGCAGGTTTCCTTGGCACAGCTCATCAGCGTGGTAAGTTCAAATTAGGCTATGCCTTTTAATTCATTACTACCTGCACAGTACTCTAAGTAAAAATCATATTGGTATTACTATGTCCCTGTTATTTTCTAGTTTACATAATAATACTTAATAGGCAGGGCCCATACATGGCAATTTACTGGTTTTATACTTCAGAATGCAGCTACAACAGGGAGATCAATCTATGCCTAAGCAATAAAGAACAGTGGCCAGATCTTCAGCCAATAAAATTTGATTGATCAAAAAATCAAAATCGTTCCAGTGATTTCAGTACAGCTACAGTAAGTTACACCAGGTCAGGACCTATCCTGGACTGTGTATACAATGCTAAACGATCTTCTGCTGTTTGCATCAAAGAAATCTGGTTTAATGGCCTGAAAACAAGCTACAAAGCCAGCTCAACATCTCATGGCATATCAGGCATATCAGCAAAGAACAGTGAAATATTGTAAAGAAAAAGACATGTTAATTCTGGCTGGAATAGTTTAATGTGGTTAAAACAATCCTCATGTAAGCAACTCCTCATATTCAATAAAAATTACTTCAATGGGTCTGAAAGACATTTTCAGTCACAAGGTTAGCATGTGTTTAACAGTTCTTCCAAGGCACAAATATACACCTCAGTGCCAAGAGAGGTTTAGCATTAAGTGCAGTGGGAACAAGATCCAGCACATAAGTGGGGATAATTTCCTGAATCGGGGCTTTCAAGTCTGCTGCTCTCTCTCTGGATGAAAAAGATGATACAGATGACTGCCTCCCTGCCAGAATTTGTGTGTGGGCCAGTGACTGGACGGCTGCAAACTTTAAGAGACCTATATAATTTATATTCTGAAACTCAAGAAGAAAAGACAGACACTCATGGAACATAAGGGAAACTATACAAGCAGATGAGCTTTCCTATATATGTGCAGGCTGATTTATACAGGATATACTGTCATGTATACCAGATGACTCTGGGACAAGTGCTCCCTCTCTCCTGGAGAATTCCACCTGGACACAGACATGCCTCCTCACACAGTGCACTGCCACCACTAGCACAGTGTCCTCCCAGATTGCAGATTCTGGGCATAAAAAGCGAGGTGCCTTGCCCCCACAGGCCCCAGCAATCAACAACCTAAACAGAGTAGATGAATGGGCTAGGATCAAGAATGGCACAGCTCAGTCCCTCTGTATCCTCAGTCTTCAAGCACAAAATAAAATTAAGCATCTTATAGGCTCTGACAATCTCAAGCATCTTCAGGATCAGAGAATTAACCTGTTTTCCTGCAGAAATCCTCCTGACTCTTCGACCTCCTACCTTGCCCCTTCAGTAGAGCCCCAGCCATACAGATCTGCTGCAGAGAGACTTCTCTTCTGGACTGCTGTCCAGAGCGACAGTGGTTTCATGAAGCAGAGCTTGCCAGCTGAGAGCTTACATGGCAAAACCTTACATAAACCTCATACAAGTTAATCTAGGCCTTCCTGGTGGTCAAATATGCCTTCTGTTTCAAATCAAATCCACAAGGGGTAAGGGGGCAGAAATCAGCTCAGCAGAGTGGTGGTTATTGTTCCCAAATAGCCATACTCCAGTCACAAATGTCCTTGTTAAAAGCCACTTGGAGCTCTACACTTGTGGGGTTACTATTTATCATCAGTATGTGCGCAAGACTGGCCATATTACCAGCAGAGAAATGCCTGTCTTGAAATACACTGGATGAAATCATGCTGCACAGTTGGAGATATCCTCAAAAGCCTACTGAATAAATCTTATTACTGCAATAAACTGAAACATTTTAGAGGACTACTCTTCTCTCTCTTTTTCGCTGCAGAATGAACGGGAGCAGATCATGACTACAAATGTCTGGCTGAACCAGGTAACCAAACCCACAGAGGCATGCTCTTGCAAGCCACAAATGCAACTGCTTTCACTCCATCACAGTGATTGTTTTGTTAGTGCTGATCTGGCTACTCCCATCACTACTGTACAATTCTTCTCTTAGGAGTGGATTGATTATCGTTTGGCTTGGAAGCCCTCTGACTATGAAGGAATAAATAAGCTGAGAATACCTGCAAAACACATCTGGTTGCCAGACATTGTGCTTTACAATAAGTAAGTAAAACTTCTGTGGTTTATGCAGACAGTGAACAAAACTTTAACCGTGTATCAAGAAACAACCATCAGAACCAATGAAGTAGGTCTGATAAAATTCTAAAACTGAATTTTGTAACTTTTAGACAGTATCAAGTGTATCTGACTGGGGTACTGGCATCAAAGATAATTTTAGTAAAATCAGGGCTCTGGTTAAAGAAATTCCAGCAGACTTGGAGCATGTCTGCAGTGTGAGCTGTTAAAACACCAGGGGATCTGTGACAAGGCTCACAACTGAGACTCAGATGTATATCAAACTAGACTATATGGAAAGCATTAATTGTAAGTACAAGCGCAGCCATAACTGGTCATGCTTGCAAGGAGATAAGACATCTGGAATTCTATTGGACATCCTAGGTTCTGAGCTACATTTTTGTCTCCTACTTCTTCTTCCCCCCTCCCTTCCACCACAAACCCCAGAACACAAATCTGTTACAAACTTCACATGTACCAGAACTCCATGAGTTAATATTCATTTACAAAAACAAATTATGTCCTGTTTTCATAAAGCAATAAAGAATCAATTATAAGAATATGTAATAAATCTGTCAACACTTGACCCTGTTGCTTTACAGTACTGAGAAAAATAAAAGCCTGGTGCTAGACCATACTTCAGTTCTTCTTTCAAACAAACAGCTAACTGCCAATTTTGTTTTGCTTTGCTTTGTTTTTAAGTCTCTAGCAAAGCCTTGAAGTGGATGATATCAAGACTTTGAGAAAAAAAAAATCAAAACTTATAATATACTTTTATGATACTTTGAAAAACAATGAACTCAGAAACACGTGATGGTTTATGAACATATACAGATGGGAAACTTAGGAAGTTATATATAACTGAGTTAAGTCCCTAGAATCCTACTGCTGGAAATCAGATTTGAGAAATACTTAAAACTATTGTATTAGTCACAAAATAATTCAGCCAGTGGATTAGGATGTACTCTGCCTGGTCAAATCTTGTTCTGGTAAATTGTGTCCCCCACCCTCTACTGCTTTCTTCCTTACTCTCCAAATGATACCATTTAATGGATTATAAGAATGGAAAGAAAGTTTTAAAAGGCTTCTTAAATCTATGGGAACAAGCTTTTTGCCTCACCATATTGGATTTTTACATTAGTACAAAGCTTCAAATTAAAATTTTAGATAAAGGACAACCCCCTGTAACTTTCTGCTGCAGAAGCAGTGTTTCAAAGGCATCAGTCAGTTCAAGAAGGTGCTAAAGAAAACACGAAGAGCATTCCCATGCCCCACAGCTCTGTCCATATGTAGCCTGTGCACAGGACTGCAGAGGCCACTGAGACAGCATAAGCAGCCCAGCCTCTATCCCACAGCTGAGCCAAGGGCAGCCAGCAGAAGAACCTACAGATTCTCAGCCCAGGAGTCTACCCAGTACATTTTACAGCATAATGGTAAATCTAACTCAGGGAGATACAGACGTATGAGAAATAAGATAGAACCTCTTTACTAAAAAATAGCAATTTTATTGGCAATGAACTAATGACCCTTGTACACTACAGCCTCTCACTTCTGCATCTGTTTGTTTCAATGCCTACGTGAGTTAGCTACAAGGGTCTCAGCTCAGTGCCAGGCACCAGCATTGGTAACGTGAGGCCTCTCCAGAGCCAAATGCAACTGATCTGGAGAACAGCTACACATGTGCCAAGCCTTGGATACTTGTCACACTTCCCTGCTTAGAAAAAAAATCAACTTTAGCACTGAAATAGCCCTATTTTCCATGATGTTTTGTGAACAAACAAGTGATTCATTAGACTTTTTATTAACTCTTAAGGGGCCCATTTCCACTCAAATAAAAGGGTGCTACTTAACCATAGTCAGCTGAACTTGGTTTGTTCACTTGCAGTGAGTTTGACCCTATATTTTTGCAGATAACGTATGGCCTTTAGGCTATGTGCATTTCTTTACAGATATGTTTATCAAAAGGAAGGCATGTGGGATGTATCTAGTACAGACTCTTCTTTGCAGTATAACTAAGTGGCTAACCCAGTTTTTAATAAAAGTGATTGATCGACATAGGAACAAATCTTTGAGTTTCCTCATCTGTCAGGAAAAACAGTCACTGATAGTTGTTCCTTCCTACTGTTACACTTTTCTTTAGTAGCCTGATTGGCTGAGTTTGAAAGGTGTTGCATAGCACAGGTGAGAAGATGCAGTGAATAGACTCAAACCCACTAAATTTCAATAATATTTATCAGCAATTGACCACTTCACATTTCTACCTCAGGATACTTCATAGGTCAAACAGCCCTAAGTTGTTCACCCAGAAATATTGGATAGGAGAAGATATTGACTACTGACTGATAATGATCTTCTCCCTGAATTAAAGGGCCCATCATAACATAGAAGACTCTCCTGGTGGAAGTTTGGCAGTTGGAGGAGATACAGAGCCAAGATTATTTGTGGGCAGTAAGAACACTGTGGCTTGTTTGTTCTGATTTTGTAATAAGTAAACATTAACTGGAGTGATGTAATAAATTGTAAACCATCTAATTACATTTCCTCTGCCTACACTCTCCCTGCATTTCTAACTAACACTGCTCATCCTTATTTCCTCGTCCAAGTCATTTAGGAGTGTTGCTGTGTGCTCTTAGCAGTGGCTGTGTTCCAGATCAAAGGTACCTCCATTTTCATGCTGGATGATGTCATTTTTACTAGCCTTCAGAGATGTTGTAAGCCTTAATTACTTTAACAAACATTTACAAAATACTTTGAGTTCTTTGGATGAAACAGAGATGCATATTTATTATTTAATAATAATTTTATAAAATAATTTTTAAAGTATTGGACTAAATATAAATTCTCTGATTGGGAGAAATGCATACATTAATCTCCCTATCAAGTTATACCTCCCTACAACATAGATTTCAAAATCAAAATATTACTAAATTTTGATTCTAGGAACAACTGAGGCCCACAAGACCAAGAATGTCAGAGCTTTTCTGTTTTGAACTGTTTTTCCTCTTAATGTTTTATTATCTTCTCTCCTTTTTCTTTCCTCTTGTTTCATTAGTGCGGATGGCACATACGAAGTTTCACTTTACACAAATGCAATTGTAAAGAATAATGGAAGCATTCGCTGGTTGCCACCAGCCATTTACAAGAGTGCCTGCAAGATTGAAGTTAAGCATTTCCCATTTGATCAACAAAACTGCACATTAAAGTTCCGGTCTTGGACATATGATCATACAGAAATTGATATGGTGCTTAAAACTTCCATGGCAAGCATGGACGACTTCACGCCAAGTGGAGAGTGGGACATTGTAGCACTCCCAGGAAGAAGGACTGTAAATCCTTTGGACCCCAATTATGTCGATGTGACATATGACTTCATTATCAAAAGGAAACCTCTTTTTTATACCATCAATCTTATCATTCCATGTGTGCTAATTACATCCTTAGCCATCCTGGTGTTCTACTTGCCTTCAGACTGTGGTGAAAAAATGACCTTATGCATATCTGTGTTGCTTGCCTTGACTGTGTTCTTGCTGCTGATATCCAAAATAGTCCCTCCAACATCTCTAGATGTTCCACTGATTGGGAAGTATCTCATGTTTACAATGGTACTAGTGACCTTCTCAATAGTTACCAGTGTCTGTGTACTCAATGTCCACCATAGATCTCCAAGTACTCACACTATGCCCCCTTGGGTAAAGCTGGTTTTCCTTGAAAGACTCCCAGCCTACTTGTTCATGAAGCGTCCAGAAAATAATTCTCCACGGCAAAAGCTGTGCAACTGCAAAAAGACAAAAGCTGAGAATCCTTGTATGGAGCCAGCTGACTTCTACAAGAACTCTACCTATTTTTTGAATACAGCCTCTGCCAAAAAATGTGATATGAAAATCACTGAGACTCTTGACAATGTCAGCAGCCATCGAGATTTTAGGTTAAGAACAGGCACAAAATTTTCTCCTGAGGTCCAAGAAGCAATTGATGGAGTCAGTTTTATAGCAGAGCACATGAAAAGTGATGACAACGACCAGAGTGTAAGTAAAAATGAGAAATCATCCCAGTCTTTCCAAACTTCATCTCCTGTCCTCCCCTGTAACACGCTGTCTTCAGAAAGCATATTTGAACTCCCTAGTCATTCTGAAGTTTTTAGAGAGATTCTAGCTATAGCTTATAAGAGGAAATAATTTTTGCTGTTAAAAGAACTTAATGAATAGCAATTTGGTAAACACCAATACTCTCCTGGAAAGTAACATGGTTATTTCTACAAAGAGAGAATGTTGATTGCCCAGTAAGTCATGAAGCACCCTTGAAAACACCATGTTGTCACATGCAAGTAGTGTTTGGCAGGGGGGGGGAAATAATATTTAGTTCCAGGTCAGAAAAAGAATATTTTTATTCATTGTATTCGGTAAGACTGTGACTCAACCCATGGCCAGGCCACATTAACCAGAAACAATCTACCTGCAGTTCAAGCATTTATTTACCTAATTGGGCACAGAAAGGGGATTTAGTAAAATTGGTAAAATGCCTTTGCAAACACCCTCTCCGGGCTAAGATATCTGTCCGCATATAGCAAACATAATGGGTAGGATCGAAATCCTAATGCCAGCAGAGCTGACACTTCTTTCATTTGAGTTAAATCAGACTTGTTATTGGCTATAAGATGTACTTTATCCAGGACGCATTTAAGCAGTGCTGCTGCTGCCCTACTCACTTGTCCTACTCATGTGCTACTAGCTAGCACACTAAAGCTGATATGAATACACTGTGAATAATGCTTGGAAAAACTCAGATGGTTCAGAGTTTTGTTTAGACAAGCACCCATGATTAGGAAAAAAATCAACCTCATACCTACCAGTGTCCCCTCTGTGACCCAGATCCCAGTCAGACTCTAGGTTCTCTATTTCTGTTCTGCTCTCCCTCCCTCAGCCAAGCAGATTTAATAAAGTTGGGTTTCCGGTCTTGCAGAAGTCCCTTGAGGAGCATGCCACTGAGTAGTTCATGTTTTCTATTAACTGAAATTACTGTCAATATAAATAAAGAAGATCAGCTATTAACATTAGACATGAGCTTGTAAACATTGAAACTGACTGAACAGAAGCAGACTTCATAGAGCAGAAAAAAAGTTTTCTAATAGCTCAAAAATTCTTGCAAGAATGTGTTGCATACTTAAAGGATCTACAAAGCTTCCATGTGATATTAAGAACAATTTTCAAGGGTATTTTATACATTAAAATTAATTGAATGCTTTTCACACAGGGTCCTCTGATATTACATATCACTTTTCTATGTTCATAATTTTAATCTCTGCTTTCTTCCTTCATTATCATGGTCTGATAACAACTGCTCATGTACATCTACTACAGTATGATTTCAGAAGCACACAATTCCCATTAGCAGCAGTGGAAATTAAAAGTGTGCACTGAAGGAAAAATACGTAATGTTCTAATATAAGACATGAGATAATTGACAAGCAAGGTAAAGCCATTGAGGTGAGGATGTCCCATGTGTAACTAGAATCAATGAGAGAGGATAAAATAATCAATCCTGAGATGCAAATGAAGATTGACATATTCCCCCTTTACAACAATAGCCTGATAGTCACTTCAGTTTGAGAACAGAATCTAAGGCCATGACTTTCACAGACAATATATGCAAGGCAAAAAGGGATTTTAATAAAAGCAGCAGTATTAATATGCATTAAAACCCTTGATTAGGATGACTGCTGACAAGAAAAGAACTCTGAAGCTAACCCTGTTTAACAGCAGTAAACACCATCTATTTTTGTCCACTGAGATTAATAGCATCTGCAAACCAAAATTAAAGGAAAAAAAATTCCTTAATTGGATTAGAGTGTAGGTTATTCCGGACTGGCTTCCACCCAGCAGCCACGCTCAGTACCTGGTGCATCCAAGACAGCTAAGAAATATTTACAATATTTTTCACCACTGCCTAAAATGGTTGTAGGAGAAAAATCCCTTCCCAAGCCTAAAGTCAGTTTATTCCCTGAACCTTCAGATTTGTTTACTTTTATTTTCATAAACAAAAACTCAGCATTAGCAAGAGGAAGAGCAAAAGAATATGACAAATTGCTAATATCTTTAATTGGCTTTTTCTTCCAGGTCATTGAAGATTGGAAGTATGTTGCCATGGTAGTGGACAGGCTGTTTCTCTGGATATTCGTCCTTGTTTGTGTCCTGGGGACTGTTGGATTATTTCTGCAGCCACTTTTTCAAAACCATACTGCTGCCATGAACCCTTAGTTGTCATTTAAAACTGTCAATAGTTACATAGATGTTAAGTCTCATTCTGCTCTCAGTTTCCCCCCTGTTAAATCCACAGAGGTGCCAACTGATGTGCTCTTACATCAGATTTAGAGTAGGGAAATGTAAAGCAGAACTTGACTTATTGTGGTAGGGGAAAAAAACAAAACAAACAGAAAACTACTATTTTTTCCAACGAGTTCAGTATTTCTGGTGATATCCTGGTCCTTTTTTCAATTATTTGAAGTCTGAACATTACAAAAGCATTTACTGTACAGTATGCCATCCTGGCTCACAAGGATTATTATTTAAAAAGTATTTTACATACATTGCCTCAGGAAGGACATTTTCTTTCCTTAGAATTCTGCAATTTCCCTATTACAAAGAAGGTATTGCTATGACATTTATTTCATTCAAATGCATCAAAACTATTTGTGACTGATTTATGAAGAGCTTTACAGGTGGAATCACTGTTTAGCTGTTTGAGTATGATATTTAAACCTGAACTGAGAAACAGAGACATTCTTCTGAGTATGTCTGGTTATTAAGTATAACCACTAATAGGTTTCTCTCCTTGCCATCTCTGATAGCTGATTGATCAACAGAGGCCAAATTAATATATGACAAACAAACCTGTATATACTCTGTTCAATGATGAAATACAAATAAAATGTAAAATTTTCCTTTATATAGATTTAATCCTGAAATGTTCCTGCAACTTTAACAGCTCATGTAATTGGGGTCCATACACACTTTCATGAATCCAAGGCTAAGAGCACAGGAAAGCATCTAGAGCAGACAATTGTGAAAGGCAGCTAGAATGAGAAGACATCTGAGTACAGACAGACACACATGTTTTGCTGGGGAGATTTTAAGCAGATTTAAGTATAATCCTCAACAAATTAGCTAGGAAAGCACATAACGCACGTACAGTCTTAAAGTCTTTGGCAAAGGACAGATCAAGGCCCTAGACTCCCATCACAGGACAATCCCACCACACTTTGTTCCAGGTAGCTTGTAACCTACAAAAGGAGAAGACATTTTTTAAGCTCAACCAATCTCAGCTTTTCCTTGGGGTGTGGTCAGAACGCATAACAATTTCACCACCATTGACAGATACAACTAATGACTGGTGAACAAAGTGGCAAAATCCACTACTACTTGTGAAGGGGATGTGATGCTCACCTGTCCCAGTGGAGGATTAGCTGACACTTAAACCTGTGTTCTTGAACCAGCCACAGTTGAAGACAGCTCCAGGTCTATCTGCTGTTATCAAAACTGAGCTACATCTCTACCTAGATCACCATTCCCAGGCAGCTAAGATAACAACATAGATTTAGACATGCCAAAACAGACACACCAACCTTTCCAAGTGTTCAGAGCAACTCTTGAGACCTTTACCAATTGCTGTGTTCAATTCCTTCCTGCCCATGCACTGAACTGCCCTGCACTGCTGCCACACACACCTCCATCCCACACACCCACTCCTGCATGCTGGAAGGGCTCTCCCACGGGCCTGAGCACTGCAGCATGGCCTAGTGCATGACAGCCTAGGAAAGACAATGAAAAAGTATCAGAAGTGATGTGGGTGAGGCTATGTGAGCAGCAGCAGCATCTCCCTTAGGTCCTATGCTAGAAGAAGAAATGGTTGTAACACTGTCATCCTCCTTTCCATTCCCCTTCCCTTATGCACTGTAACCATGTCCATCACTGAAGACAAGGCAAGAAGGTGAAGGATGACAGTAGGACAGCCCTAGTAATGCAGGTGTGCCACATTCTTCTCTCCCAGAGGGTGGCAATGCTCTGGTCCCCAAACATTAACTGTTCTAGACATTCCCATGGTGACTGGTAGGTGGTGTAAAGTTTAAATGGGTCAAACCTGCTTTCCCTGCCTCAAATGTCTTCTCCTTCTCAAACCTAGAGAGCAGAGCTATTTCTCTGCAGGCAACTGAAACAACAGCTGTGAGATGAGATGAGATGGGGCACAGGCCGCACCTCAGGAGCAGAGGGGTGCCTTCACCCACACAGGGAGATGCTCCTCTATGTTAGGTTATATGCCAGGAGCTGACATGGCACAGAACATCACTAGCACATGTGCACTCACTGCCCCAGCTGCTAAGCAGCTTTTGCTGCTTACAGAGAAGACAGAGGGAAGCCAGAGCAGCTGCCAGCACCGCACAGTGTAACAGTGAAGCCCCTTTAAATCCCACAGTAACCTTTAACAGTGAATCTGAAAGAGGCAGCACTGACCTCAGCACAATGCTCTTGTGAGCTACAACACACTCCTGCAGGGCAGAAGGGAGTGGGACTCACCCAGCCAAGCAACCAAGCATGCAGCAAGTCAGCTGCGGACCCTGCAGTCCACCTGACTAACACTGGACCTGTGCAGAGCAGAGACCCCTCTCTCTGTGCTCTTTTCACCCAGTACCAACAGCACTTCTGGCTCTGTCCCGCTCTCACCCTCCTACCAATCATTATTCCTCTCCCCTGGTCCCTTCTTATTCTCTCCCTCGCTGCCTGAAAGCAACTGAAATGAGGCCTCCAGTACTCCCATCTCATAGTTGGCCTTATCTTTATGAGCGGTAATGACTGATAACGCTTGGCTCTGTAACTGCAGCCTTCAGCTGAATTATCCTCAGCATAGAAAAAAGTTTTAGAAAGGATTTGGCAGCTCAGCTAGCAGCTAACACAGAGCACAGGCAGATGGAGGCTTCAGACTTGACAAACCCAGAAAAAGCTTTCAGAAGGTACATCACTGGCCTCAGGGAGATCCCTGCAGAACTAGAGCTCCTCATCCAGGAAATGGTGGGCTCTGGTGCTTTCCATACACTGTGGCCACCTTATTCCTTTTTTAATCACGAGTGAAGCAATATACTCTTCCTTAGTTATGTTCTTGGAAACCACCACTGTATTTTTTTAGAGTTTCCAGAAATAATTCAATCCATAGCAAACTTCAGAATGGAAAATTTCACCCAAAGCCCCCAAATTTTGAAAAATCTGAACTCCTAAAACTGCTTTCAAAATGGGAAATGCTATTTTTGCCTAACTCTCAGCAACTCCACCTATGTAATACATAGAACTGTTCCCAGTTTAAACTGTCAAAGAACTGTAGGGGTTTCCGCTTTGATTTTTAGGCAAAATTTCAAAACCAAAAAATTTCTGGAGAAAAGGAAACATTAAAAATGTCATCTTGCAGGCTAATATGAATATGGCAAGGTCCCAGTTCATCAAACAAACTTCAACATTTCCACTTTTCAGGGTTTTTACAGTAATGCTTTTCATTTAAAAAGGGAAAAAAGTGGTCATTCAAAATGTATTTTTCACTAAAACTGTTTTTCAGTGGCAGTGTGCAACCAGCCTGTGATTCCCTACTAGTAAGGAAAAGCCTCTGTTGGCTCCCTCCCCATTCCCTACTACTACAGAACTCTTTAACCCTGACCAATCCTGTCTTCTGTCAGAACACGTAGACATGCCAACACCACAACACGCATGTACCATTCGTGTCCAGGTGAGTTTATGTGGGACTGTTGCTGCACCCCTGCAGCCACGGCAAACTAGAAAGACCAGCAGTGATGGCTTTTTATAGAGGGAGCATCAATACCCCAGACAAAGGTGGGAAAATATTCTTTTCCTCATCACCTGAGTTGATTAAGATTTGATCTTAACAAATCTTAACAAAGTAAAACACCTTTAAAAGTGGCATGTTTATTAAAAAACAAAGGCTATGTAGTTTGTTATTGTAGATCTTCTTGGGTAGATCAGTTTCCCCCTACCCATACAAATTCTTCTTCCATGTAGTTCTGCAATGCACTCGTGATGATGTGTCCTTATCACGTCACTCTCCGTAGCCATAAAAATAATCCTACCATAAACCCAAGCTGATTTCACCAGGAGCTCCAGCATGTGATGTCAGAAACAAAATATCTGTGCATACAAACACCACTGAAAATTTCAGTAACTGGGCAAATTAAGCTAAAATACCAGTATCTCTTGATGCAATGGCTCTTTGCTGCCTCTGCAGATCAGATGTTTCCAAATCATTCATGTTTAAGCACTGACTTTTGGGGAAGATGGGTTATGATCTGATCTTCAAAGCTTTAGCTGATTTCTAGTTGTGACTAAAAAGAAACAAACAAAAATCTCAGTTATAATGCTGCTTATACATGGAAGCTAAGAAGGCAGAAAGGGAAACCATCTAGTCTCAATGCCCTGGAAAGGCAAAAAAATGTGTCCACAAAGGGTTAAGCTAAAAGACCAAGCAGCCAAGTTCTCTGGAAAAAAAGAAATAACATCAAATGGACAGTAAAGCCTACTTCCTCCATGCTAATAGAATTACAGAAATTATCATAAGAGCATGTGTCTGGGGATGGAGTGAATGATGCTCTGAGAGATAGGGCAAACAGGATAAACAAGCTCTGTGCCAAGACCAGCTGAACTGCACCCAGTCTGGTGTTCTTTCTCCCAGTGCTGTCTCTTAACACAGTGCCAAATGGGCTCATCGTTTATCCTTCCCTAGCAGCAGGGAGTTAAGCACCTACTGTGTGCAGCCTCCTGTCCCACAGGGCTTCCCTCTTGTCATTTCCAAAAACAAGGGTGGAATCCCACATTTTTCTCTCTCCCCCGCCTCTCTCCACACAGACTGCCCAGATGTGTGCAACAACCACTGCATGCATGAGCCTTGCATCACCTGGTTGTTCAAGGGGGGCACAAAAAGTGACATATAAGTTAACAAGGAAGCTGATGGGCACCTAAGGAATGAGCCACTTTGCAAATCGTGATTTTATGATTGAACTTCAAACGAAACTCCCCATTCTCCTACATCTCCTTCCCCTTGAACAATAAGGTTTCATGGGATCAGGCTGGGATCCTATGCTCTTATTTCCCTTCCCAAATTTCACCTTTCTAATCCATGGAAGCAGGAAAGGTCCAAAGACCGTTTGGTCAAGTTTGATCTCCAACTCATACCCCTGGCTTTTGCCAGATCCCAGCTGCTATGTATATCACTCTGGGTTTAGATCCTGTCAACAGTTGTACATGCCTTTAATTTCTCCTGGGAACAGCACATCCTTTTATACAGTCAAGCACCTAGCACATGCACTTGCAAGATGAGAGACAGGCAGGAAAAAAACCTCAACATTAACAGCATAATTGGAAATTCAGGTCCCATGATCTCAGTTCACTGCTAAATCAGGCATCCCTAATGTCAATATCCATTTCAGCACAATTCAATTATAAGATTTTTATTAATTAAACTTCTCCTGGTAGATTGGCATGAGCTTCCAATAGAGAAGGATCCTGTACAGCAGCTGACTAGAAAAATCTTTAGCATTGTCAGTTTACCAGGTTCCTTTGTGCACCACTTCAAGGACTCTTGCCCGTTATCCTTGCCAGAAGACTGCTCTTTGCCTACAATAACATCTGTTTTGCCTGCAATTTATTTGCTGTTTCCAATGCTCTGACAGCCTGTGTAGCTAGAAAGGGGGCAGCACAGCAAACCTCATGGGAGCTCACTGCGCAGAACTGTGTTCAGGGTCCTGCCGTCTGCTGCTTCCAGGCGTTTCACGCATCAGAGGAGCAGAGCCTTCTGTACTTCCTATGCTCATACAATCCTGGCAGCTAAGCTCATCATCAACAGCCTCTGTCGACAGGCAGTAATTCATAACACCATGGAGAGCATGCACACTCTCCTTTTAACTGCTGCTGTTTGCTTTCTCTGTCAAGGTGAGTGATCCTTAATTTGTTTATTCTTTGTTGATGAAGCGGGGCGGGGGGTGAAAAGGTGAACAGGAGATGGCTTTGGTGCAAATTATTTCTAAGAAGTGCTGAAGCTCACTCCAGGCTAATGGATAAATGTACAAAATCCTAGTACAGCTCTTTTTGTTACATAGGTTGTTGTTGGGTTAGTTTTTTTTTTTTAAATTTCTCCTTGTAAAGTAGTTAAGTAGTCCTGATTCAAGATGCCAAACAGGACACACAAAGCCATTTTAACATTAAGAAGAAAAAGCACCTTACATCTAAAGGTGTGGTTTTACATATTGTAGAGAAGACCACAAGAAAGTGATAATATTAAACAGCTTTAAATATGTGCTGCAAACAGTGCACCTTCTCTCTGCAGATATGGAAAGCACCAAAACATTTCAATAAAAAAAAAATAAATTATGCACTTCTCTAGATATGGTGGATGCTAGATTTAATTAGAGTGCTGGTGACATGTAAAAAGGCTGGCAATTTAGGATTGACTATAATAGAGAGTCATTAAAATCTAGCTTTAAAACTATTTACCTAAAAGATTTGGGAGTATTTATTCCAGGAAGTCTTGATCTGAGCAATACGAGATATCAATAAATAATAAGGGCAAGGCTAGCAGTTAAAAAAGTGTGAAAGAAATGTTTAATGTTTAAAACTAATTTTTTAGTTAGCAAGCTGGCTTGAATGATTTTACTAATCTGAAAATAAAATTGCTCTCCAAGTGAACAAGGCGGGGGGGGGGGGAAAAAAAAAGCTTTTAGCTGAATACAGTTTCACATAAGGGGGACCCTCTTGTCTTAAGGAGAGGGGAGCTCTTACAAAGATCAGAAAGTAACACATTCTTTGTGAAACACTACAGATCAGTCACCTGCAGATACTTCTGCCTCCCATCTCTTTCTCTACTGAAAAACAACTGTCTGGCAAAAAACAAACATGTCCTTGCAAATATCTGTAGATTCATATTTGTGTTTCAAAGGAACTGTAGAGTATGTTCAACACACTTCAGTTCTGTGGCTTTGCCAAAGTCACATATTGTCATCCATAAATGACAAAACAGGCTTTCTTTTGTTTTTCAGTTAGAGTGCTTGAGGATGTGTCGTCCAGAAGAGAGTTTAAGAGAAAGTCCCCTAAAAATAAAATGTCGTTGGCCTTTAAGTAGTGTGCAGCTGTCAGGATGGTTATTGCCTAGCTAGCTCTGAAAGTAAAAAGGTAATGTGAAATACAGGCTCTCACACTTCATCCCAAAACAGCTGAAAGACCTCGTTGTTTAAGTATTTCAGTTTGCAGCTTTTCTGTTGGCCACAGGGCACCATGAACAGCAGTTATCAGTGGCAAAACGGACAGCTGGAATATATACTAAATAAAAATTACTTAGAATAATAAACGAGTAATTAGTACATTTCTTTGAATGTGCTGAAAAGTCTTTGAATATAGTGGTAATCAATTTTTAATTCTTTTTTCCGTATTTTAACAAGCAGGCTGTTATCATCACTATAATCACGCAATCATGACTCAGGCTAGAAAGCAGAGTTCTCATTTCCTGGGAATCCTCCTACCGCAGAACGCTCTGACAGCTTACAAGGGGCCTGGTCTGTCGGGTTACACTTTTCCCTCCTTCTGCTCCACACCCCCGCAGCTTTGGCAGGTCTAGGGGACTAGGCCTGTGAGGGGAAAGTGCTTTTGTACCTCCAGTCCTTCAGTAACTCCCCAAAACTATTTTTTGAACCCATTTGCAGAGATGTATGTGAGAAAAACTCTGTCATAGCATTGCCTTTCATTGCTTTTCTTCTGCCAGCCTAAGCGAAGGCCAGTCGTGACACACTACTACCCGCTTAGGCAAGGCTTGGCCTTTCCCCACACATCACAGGGATGCTAAGCAGTTAATGCCCATGAAGACAGGTACCAAAAGCGGCATCGAGCCTCCACACACGGGGGGCTGCTGCCTCTGCGGCCGCTCACCCCGCCGCGCCCTCCGCAGGCGGTGGCGCCTCCGAGGCTGAGCACCGGCTCTACGCGGCCCTCTTCGAGAGCTACAACCAGTTCGTCCGTCCCGTCAAGAACGTCTCGGACCCCGTCATCATCCAGTTCGAGGTGTCTATGTCCCAGCTGGTGAAGGTGGTGAGTACCCGCCCCGCCGGGCCGCCCACGGGCGACGGGGGGGCCGGCCCTTCGCCCGACACACCTCTGTTTTCCAGGATGAAGTCAACCAGATAATGGAAACCAACTTGTGGCTGAAGCACGTAAGTAGATCTCCCTGACAGCCCAGACGGCACCAACTCGCCTCCTCCCAAGCGCGGGAGGTTCTTCCCAGTGCGGGCGGGGAAGACCCCGGTCCTCACGGGCCGCGCCGGGGGCGGGAACAGCCGTCCCCTCAGCGAGGCGCCTGCGGGCTCCCGGGAGCACCACGCTCGCCAAGCCAGGGCCAGGCCCCCCCTCCCTCGGGGCAAAGCCGCAGCCTGGGAAAGCATCATGGGCACGGGCGAGGCCCCCGGCGGCGCCCGGGGCGCCAGCAACGACCGCCCCTCTCAGCGATCGCCCGGGCGCCGCTCTCCGGCGGCAACGCCGCCGCGCTCCTGCCCCCCAGCGGCCCGCGGCGGCAGAGCGCTGAGGGGCGCCTCCCGCCGCCCCGCTCGGGCAGACCCGCGCCGGAGAGGGCCGGACGGGACGGGAGGAGGGCTGCCCGGCCCTCCGCGCCACCTAGCACGGGCAGGGCTAGGGCCCGGCCCCAGCCGTCCGCCTGAGAAGCGGCACCTCCCACCTCGTTAAGGGACCGGCCACAAACACCGTCGTCGCCACCGACGCCCTCCACCTTTCTGCCTCACCGACTCTGGGTGCTGCAGCATTTAAATACGGGCCTGGCTCGGGGCGCTGCTGTTAAAACTCAGGTTGGGAGTCGTCAGCTGCAGCCCTAACCCTCCTACACTTGGTAAGTTGCTGAATACTGTATTTTTGCTATGAAGACTCCTAAACACGCTGTCTTGGCAGACGCCGACGCAGAGGAAGCAGCTCAGCAAGGAGGTCCCGCACAGCATCGCTTGGTGCCGTTTAGCTCCCCGGAAGCGAAAACAAACCAAAAACGTTGACTTCACTTTAAAAAGTCATTATGGGTTAAAAATGCAATTACTCGCTGTTGCAGTCAGCTTAATTACCAGCTTAATTACCAGCTTCAGCTTAACATTCAACTTTGTTAAACTGGGGTTTAATGAGCCCTAATGAACAAGGCTGTTACTTAACTGAGCAGTGACACCCTGCAGCCCTTTCTAACCCACCTACCCAGGGTCCTTTACTCAATGCTCACACCTAGCACCAGAGCTGCCTATGAATTTGTTTTCACCATCTCACAGACGCCTGGCTTTTTGAGATCTAAGTTATTATTAAAGTCCTACATTCTCTGGCAAGAGAGTGCCTTATTCCTTCTTTCACCTTGTTTCAGCTACTGAGTAGACCTTCCTAGGACATGGAGCCACACACATCTACTAGACCAATAGGCCTGCCAACTATCTCCATGTGAATAAACACCAGACGTGCATGCTTGTTAAAGAAACATCTAATCATTGTAGCATCCAAAATAAAACAACCCTAGAAGTGGTATGACAGTGCTTCGTTTGAGTCTAGTCCATTGAATTTCAATTTCTTCACAAATCTAACAGACTCATTTCTTCTATAATTAGATCTGGAATGATTACAAGCTTCGGTGGAATCCAGCGGACTATGGAGGTGCTGAATTCATCAGAGTACCATCTGGCCAGATCTGGAAGCCAGATATTGTTTTATATAACAAGTAAGACTCTTACATATTTATCTTCTTAATTCGTGAAGAAGGGGGGTGATGTTACTAGTTTAAAAAAAATCAGCAGCATGTTCACTGAATTAACTGAAAAACCCTGCTTTTCAACACACCCATGTCCCACATCTCCCTATTGCTGTACTCACCTTCGTGCCATCTACATCACCATCACTGGGCAGGAGCCAGCTCCTAACCAGGAGCTGCAAGTGGGCAGGCCAACATGAACTTTGCTTTTCCCCTTCACAAGCCCCCACTTTTACTATTCTTTTTTCACTGTCTACAAGGGAGGTGGCAAGAAGTTCCCTTAGACTGGAGAGTTCCTGTCTGTCAGTCAGACCTTTAACTGTAAAAAACCAGAAATTCTAGCTTTTTAGCGGTTTAACTCACAGTTTGACACCTTTATAATAATAGTGTTGGCATATGAAAGCCACAGGTGAAGTTTACTTTGTATGTCAGTTTCTGAGACTGTGAGGAGCCAAACCATAATTAAATGGATCCCTCTGCTATGTAGGGAAGCAGTTCTCAGTGAAAGGGACTTCACTGAGATGCAAAACTTAGGTCTATGGAACAACAGCGATGACACTTCTTTTCTAACTGTGGCCTTAAAACTTTAAATTACCTTTTAGTTTTACTTTTTCATATAAACAACTGAAATTGTCACACGGATCATGTAAGATCTGTGTGATCAGGATAGTAACATGGGACTTAAAAAAAATCCCTCACCAATTACACTCCTTATGCAAAGATGCACCTCAACCCTAATCCCTCTTTCATAGTTAATACCTGCACTGTCCACAGAAGAGGTGGAAATACTAAGACTGCACGTATCCTCTTATCAGCCTGTGGGTTCTGATGTGCTTGATCTAGAAAGGAATAGAACAAAATAGTTCAGTTGGAAAAGACCTGCAACAATCATCTAGTCTGACTGCCATTTGCAATCTCCTATTTGCTGTTTTGAATATTGATGGCACTGAGCAATGTTATTATAAGGGAGAATATTTCCTTTCAAATCCTCCATGGTAAATTTATATGGCTGTTTATTTCAATTTAACTATGCAAATTTATGACAGCCGCTGACTCAGTCCTGCACATGCAATTCAGCTCCACATCAACATGTAATTGCTGACTTTCCCAAACAGATTAAAGTGTTAATGTATATGATCTGAATGTATGAAACTACCTGGAGTAGTTGCCTTCTAATTTTTGTTATTTTTATTTGCTTTACAGTGCAGTTGGGGACTTCCAGGTTGATGACAAGACAAAGGCCCTATTAAAATACACGGGTGAGGTGACCTGGATACCTCCGGCTATATTTAAAAGCTCATGTAAAATAGATGTAACCTACTTCCCATTTGACTATCAGAACTGCACCATGAAGTTTGGTTCCTGGTCTTACGATAAAGCCAAAATTGACTTAGTTTTAATTGGCTCTACAATGAACCTGAAAGATTACTGGGAGAGCGGAGAATGGGCTATTATTAAAGCTCCTGGGTATAAACATGACATCAAATACAACTGCTGTGAAGAGATATATCCAGACATCACATATTCTCTTTACATTAGGCGTTTACCTTTATTTTACACTATCAATATGATTATTCCATGTCTGCTGATTTCTTTTCTGACTGTATTAGTTTTCTATTTGCCTTCAGACTGTGGTGAGAAGGTGACACTCTGCATATCGGTCCTTCTATCTTTAACAGTGTTCCTTCTTGTTATCACAGAAACCATACCTTCTACTTCCCTGGTAATTCCACTTATTGGGGAATACCTCCTTTTCACCATGATATTTGTAACTCTATCTATCGTCATTACAGTATTTGTACTTAATGTGCACTACAGAACACCCAAGACACACACAATGCCTGTGTGGGTGAGAACTATTTTCTTGAACTTACTTCCCAGGATCATGTTTATGACAAGGCCTGCCAGTGATGAAGAGAATAATCAGAAGCCAAAACCATTTTTCACTTCTGAGTTTTCAAACTTAAATTGCTTCAACAGTTCTGAAACCAAATGCTGCAAAGATGGCTTTGTATGTCAAGATATGGCATGCAGCTGTTGTCAGTATCAACGAATGAAGTTCTCGGATTTCAGCGGCAATCTCACAAGAAGTTCAAGCTCTGAGTCTGTAGATCCTCTGTTTTCACTTTCAGTTCTGTCACCAGAAATGAGAGATGCTATTGAAAGTGTTAAATACATTGCAGAAAATATGAAAATGCAGAATGAAGCAAAAGAGGTAAGAACATATTTTACTATTACTCAAACTGCAGATACCATTTGCCATTAGCGTGTTTTGTGAGAAAAAGATATCTCAAAAAAAAAAACAAAAAAAAGAAAGAAAAAGAAAAAAAGGACAACACAGACCATTATTTTATACAAGTAAATTACCCAAGCCGTATTACAAGTATGTGCAATTTTGAATGTAGATAATTTTGGGGAGCAGCTCTGTTGCACAACATTCTCTTTATTGAAAACATATATACTGAGTGAAGCATGTTAAGGTAACCACTGCTAGGGAAACATATTCAAGTATCCGTCCTACAAGATTAGGAGTGAGGATTTTCCACGTTATAATCTGAATAGTGGAATTTGCTGACTCTATGGCCTTTAGGAAGTTACATTCTCCCTCCCGCAGCTTACTGTCAATAACAAAGAACATAAGAATGAATGTCCTTCACAGTGATGATGTTGCTTATTCTGCTGCTGCTGTAAAGTGCTGTAGCTAAATGAGGCAACTGCTGCAAGATGGGCACCATCATCTGTCATAAAACTGCATCCTGATGCAATAAAAAAAAAAAAAATTAAGGTTTTCTTTTTATCATGTTCCTCAAACATACTAAGAGCAGTAGCCACACCACCACAATCGTCACTGAATTTAAATCCTCTGCAGTATGGCAGTTAAAGTTAGAATTAAGTTATTTTTTTAATGCTGAAATCAGAACTTCATTTAGAATTAGTTGGTACAGAAAATATGGGGTTGTTCTGCTTTTTTAAAGTCTGCCTTAACAAACAAGTTCTAAGCTAAAAAGTGCAAAATTTCAACAACAACAAATACATTATTCATTTATTAGCTTTCCTGAAGAAAAATGAAGTAAAAATTTAAATCGTAATCTCAAGAGTAACTAAAATGATCCCTAATGTAGTTACTATTAATATATAACATAGATAATACTTCAGTGTCACTCTTGTTATAATGCCCGCTGTAAAAAAAAATAAAAGTTAGAAAAATCTGGTTTTTGGAAAGTTGGTTCCCTCTCTACATGGAAGGTAAGGAGATGTATTTTACATCATGCATGAGAACAGTCAAATTTCAGTACTAGATAAGAAACATATCAAATAATTATACACCAGTTAACCTTTGCCTTTTTACATACTGCCTAAAGACCAGTAGGAGCAGTCTGTTTCAGTAAAGTTTTCTGGACAAAGCTGATCACCTAAGAATGTAAAGCTTTTCACTTTCATTTTTGACATACAGAAGAGAATCTGTATCTCATGAAGTCCAATGGCTTGGTGAAAAACTTTTTGTGTTTGAAGTAGCAGCTTTTGGCTTTGCCACAAACAGCATATTCAAATAAAGCTTCTTCAAGATGAATTTATTTGTCAATTAAAACAGAGATATGTAAGTTGTGCATACATGAAAAAGACATCTACATATGGAAAAAAACTGTGCTTCCTATATAAAATAGTACTAATTGCTAAGGCAAGTTATTAATCTAATAAACATCCCTACTTGCTATTCAATTTATTTTTCAGATTCAGGATGACTGGAAATACGTTGCCATGGTAATCGATCGTATTTTTCTATGGGTTTTCATCCTGGTATGTATTCTAGGAACAGCAGGATTGTTTTTACAACCTTTGATGGCTGGAGATGAAATGTAAAGATTAAGTAGTATGTTATGAAATCAAATAAAACTTTTGCTAACCAACTCTGCACCCCCACCCCAGCACCTGGTGTCTCTTCTATGTGTAGTAGAATAAGGATCTCTCTTGGCCTCAACTTTGCTTGAGCAAGAAGTCTTTGTTAAAAATGTGAAAAATGTGGGAAAAAAAAAAAGATTTTTAATCTTTACGACAGCTAATCTCAAAGTAATATGAGCTATGCCTGACAGCTACTTTCTGCAATAACTAGAAAAGATGTAGGTAGTACATTAAACTTTATAGGAATGGTTTAAGAAGGGGTTGATAAAAAAACTGAATATTACATGAATATTCAGAAAGTCAAGACAGGTTGAATACTTTGGGCTACTAGATTTGTCTCCACCAGTCTAGCGCCAAGTCTCAAGTCTCTTCAGACCATGACAGGATCTTCTGGGAATAAGTTCATACTGAGTTCAACGAATGCCCTCATGAGGACGAAATGGTTTAAGAAGCATACATACCAAATTGCTACAATGCAGACATTGCCACCTGGTGTATAAACTGACTCAAACAGTGGGAGGAAAGGACCACGGGCAGGTTTATTACAAAAGGAAAACAAATAGGTAAATAATAGATGATGGTAATAAAGCAGCCATAATGTAAAGTCTGTGCATCCCTGTATTTCAATGTATGAGAAGACTGTCAGAAAAAACAAGCTATTCAAACCTAATAATGTTTAAGACTGTGTACAAGTAAAATGCACACGAAGACGCAGGCTGCAGGTTATGCAAAGGATCAAAATATTTTGATAGGATAGTTTGGATACAGAAGCATCCTGCTATAGCAAAGTGTTTTATGACAAGGGAAGGCAGGTAGATACAAAATAGTCCTGTAAAGTATGCTAAGGCCTACTTTTTTTTTTTTTTAATCAGTAACTGCAGATAATTTAAGAGCGTGAATGAAGAATGCAACAAAATACTGTAATGAGAAAATATTTTGTAAAAATATGAACTGTTCTCTCTGTACCAAACTGGAAACTTTTTGGAAATACAGTGTATCAAGTAATGTAACATTTATGAAAATAAAGAGAATCAAGCTGTTGAAAATTGTGCTTTTTTTTTTTCCTCATTTATTTTGACCGAGTCACAAAAACCTATATAAGGTAGCATTAGCTAGAGTTCAACACATTCAAAAACAAGTTACATAAGTAAAGGTCCATGCTTCTGAGTCTATTAAAATTATTTTGTTTCAGACACACCTGTAAGCTGAAGACCCCAAGGATTCTACTGTCAGCTATCTTATCTGTATTTATCATAATCAGATTGTAGAAGTGACTAAAAGAAATTCATGCCTTTGCAAAAATTGTGAGTTACTAGTATAAAGACTGGGACTCTGTTGACCAATATGCTGCCAATCACCTTATGATATAATTGGGCAGTCTACAGACATCATTTAACAAGGGGAAAGAGACAAGGTGGGGAGTTAAAAAAATAATATATGTGGCTAATCTATAGTTTTACTTTGCTTTTCTGTTCAGGTAAGAATAAACTTCAGTAATTCAAACCCAAGGAGGACTACAGAAAGAAATTTTGCATTTGAAGAGAAAATAAGGTATCTAAAGTATTTCTGCAACTTCCACACAAAGTAACTGATGCATCGTTTAATCTTAGTAATACTAAGGAAGTTAAAATTATTATATTAATGAATTAAATCAGATAATCTTTGCAAATTCACCATTAAAATTAATTATGACGGGAATAGAGGAAATATGGATATCCAATGCCAGATGTAATTGTATAACTGAAGAGGAAGAATGACTCCCTTTACAATCAGAATTATTTATAAATTGGTATTAAAAAAAAAAAAAAAAGTGTTGCCTGGCATCATTTCCCTGCCTATGAACCTTAAAAAGCTACACAAAACCAAAAATGTCCTACAGGTGAAAACAGTTTGAAATAAATATTCAATTATATATAAGTTATGACATAAGCAATCAGTATTATAACCAGTACAGTGCCAAACAGTGCTATTCTGAAGGAGATCCCGGGACGGGGGAGTGGGTTGGGTTGTGCAATATGTATCCATTTTCCAAATTCATAACCACCATAAAAGCTTGCATTATCAAAGATACCACAATTTACATTAAACTTTGCGCCTAAACATGTTATTATTAATGTATTAATTTCAGCAAATAAACACTTCCCAAGACTTGCTCTAGCTTAGCATTACTGTATTAGACCTGCAGGATGCAACTATATTATGAAGTACACTGATAAAACTTTGATGTAGGAAACCCCCCATCTATTTTAGAGTCTCTTCCAGAAATAAAGCTTTTAAGAAAGGTGGCAATGGAATGAATGTAAAGAATTTAAAATCAGTATTTAGAAAATATATTTTAATGGAATAATTAAAAAGTTGCAAGTTAGTTTCCAACACTCTCAGGAGAAAGAACATATGGAAAGCTGCAAGTGGTTGCTGCTTAGAGTTACATACGGTTCTATAAGTGAGAGAACCTATTAAAGGTAGATTTATAAGTTAGGTTTAACAAATGTGTGAAAACTTAATCATCTGTGTTTGGTTGTATAGCATAATAATTTTCAACCCATTTCCTTCCAAAGGGCACTGCCCAGACTCCTTCTACCTGTGCTTAAAAACTTAATACTGAGAAACACACAAAAGCAGGAAATGATTGACATGTTTGCAACTAACATACTGTATCAAATTCTTCATCAAGAATAAAGAAATCTGAATGTTCTGGTTCATTAGAAACTTGGGAACTCATTTAATTGCCTTTGCCTTCCTTTCCATAGCTGATACAGAGATACCGATGTAGAAGTATCCTGTAGGCATTTTAAGGCTTACTGTATTAAATGTTCATGTTAGTATGATAGAATTAATGAGGTTTTAAATTCAGCAGCAAATTCCACTGAAAATTTAGAAAGGCAAAACATAGCCAAATCACTATTTTTACTTATATGTTGAATATATGGGAAGTTTAACTGGTATTTTTATTATTATGTTAAATTTACTCTGTAGAAACTTTATACTTTTGCAACACATTCAAGAGAGCTGATAAAAATCCTCCTTTGCATACTATAGTAAATTAAAACAAGCAACTCTACTCTGTAAATATCTGCAAATATTTAATACTCAATATAACAATTTATATAGTAATTTAATAGTTTAATAATATATTTAATAATACAGTGATCATCACTAAAAAATTTTAAATCCTTCTATTTCACAGTAGGTGTCAGTGTATGCTTTTTTGACATATCATATATGCAAGTGCTTGACAAGGTCCTTTCAATTCTGACCCGATTTAGAAGTAACTTAGTAGACTGGCAATAAGCAAATTGACTTCTATGTGTCCTAGGGATGCCATGCTTTAACATAAACATAATTTTCTGGGTTTGTTTTTTTTCTTTTACTCTATCAGAAACATGCCTAAAAAGAACATGCATGGAAATAGAGCTACTGCAAAACTTTTTAGAGACATAGTAGCAGGAGACAGATCCAAAAATACTTTATGCATTTGTACTGCCTATATGCATAGGTACTATTATACTTGCCCATTTATGAATAACAGGAATAAATAACACAAGTGATCCAATTATTGAAACCAGAAGAAAAGTCCATAAGAACATTCGATCAAGCACCTGAGCAATAAATTTCCAGTCTTCAACAACCTAAAAAACAAAGAGTATAACAGTTGGTCAGTACATGCAAGAACAAGTAAGAATTCAGTACCAAACCCTGCAATTCTTAATCACTTTACAGTACACTTTTTTTTTTTTTCCAATCAGGTCCATTTGGTAACCCCCTTTAATAACTTTTTATAGTTACACTGTGAGCTAGAACAGGAACAAACTTCCATCTATGAGGGTTGGTAAGTTATATAGACCAATACTAGATTTTAATGCAGAAAGTGACCCTAACAAGCACCGAACATCCTCAACTACAGAGAGGGTGGAATTGGTATACAATTTTCTAATGTATTGTAGTATTTAGGTTTCATGCCACAGCGTCATCATAAAGTGGAATTCCCGGGCAGGAGCTAGAAGCAAAAGTTGTAAAAAAAAAACAAAAAACAAAACCAAAACCACAAACAAACAAAAAAACCCCCAAAACAAAACAAAAAAAACCACCAACAAAAAACCACCAAAACCCAAACCACCCAAACCACAATAAAAACCAAAAATTAACAGTAGACAGCAGCTGTTGTGTTACATACAAGATCTGAAAGCTGTGAACTTACTGCTGCACAGAATTATATACTAGGGAGAATACTCACAGTACTTTCAAGACTATTTTGCTTTTTGATAGGATTATTCATATCTATACACAGTTTTGCAAGTATAGCAGATATAATTGCACAAGCAAATTAAAGCCCTGCCAAATAATTGTCTTTGATTTGAACTAGAGCTATCCACATTTTCCAAGCCTACGGCTTCCTAAGAGGTAAGGCTACAACAGCACTAGCTGTGTAATTTTTTTTAACAACTTCTTCAATTAAAGCTTCCATTCTCTGGAGCCTAAGTAATAAAATACAAGTGAATCCCCAGTTAGCTGTATATTAATTTCTGAGATTGAGAGTCACAACAACATTACACCTGAAAAACAAAATACTTATCACCTCTCTTGTCACTCACAGTCAAATACAGTAAGTTCAGTAGAGAAAGAAAACCAATCCTTAATTTACAGGAAATTATGTATTTAATAGCAAACTATTCTTTTTGTGTTGTTTATACATGCAGAGGTATTAGATACTGTTTTAACAGTACAGTGGATATGTTTACTCAAAATCTAGGCTGGATCCCTTTTGATCATGTCAGAACTGAGTCCTGAGAAGGTACATTAGAGGAGTTGGCTTACTCCTAGGCTAGCATGTGAGAACACGCTCTCAGCAAACAGCAACTTTTGAAGACAGTCATTTCTGTATAAATTGGAAGTATCTCAGCCATCAGAAACAGATAGTAGTATTGTGAGACCACACAACAAACTTCTACATTTCTACACAA